CCCTCCCTAACCAGTGGAGCTATGACCTTATGAGGGTGAGGACAATCATTGTTTCCTGCTCTCTCTAATCTCCCAAAACTTGGTCCTGGACATGTGCACAGTGGTAGATTAAAGAGCAGATTAACTAGGGCCAGCCGAGTGGCTCAGGTGGTTAAGAGCTCGCTCAAGAGTGTGAGCTCTGAGCAACAGGGTCGCTGGTTCAATTCTGACCCAAGCTGAGCTGCCAACAGGTGGCAGGATGGGTCAGCTAAAAAAAAATAAATAAATAAATAAATAAATAGCGAGCAGATTAAGTAAAATCTCAGATTTCTGGCCGAGTAACAGAAAAAGGAGTCACTGTGAACCAGAAACTACTAGAGATATTGCAGGAAAGGAGGAACTGAGAAGTTATTTTTGAACTCCTGGGTTTACCACCAAGCTGCCCATACGTGATTCTGACCCTATTCAGCATATCAAAGATGTGAGAACTGCATTAACAGACAACTGCCCAAGAATGAGACTGACCATTGGGAGAACCACATGTGGGATAGATCTGAAGAGCACTACAGAGGCAATGCAACTAAACAGACATTGGAACAACAAACCAGAGAAGACAGGTTGGCACTCATAAGGTAAAAATAACTGAGTCAATTACTTCCTGTAACAAAAACATCAACATCTACATAGGATTTTTAAAACACACCAGAGTCTCATAACAGAATACTCAAAATGTCCAAGATAAAATCTACATATGACTTGGCATACAAAAAACCAGTATGATTTCAACTTATATGGGGAAAGACAATTAACAAATACTAATTCAAGAATGATGAAGATGTTGGAATCATTTGACAAAGACTTTAAAGCAGCTATTATAAAATGCTAGTAGTCACAAAAAATAAGTAGTCACAAAAACTTCTGAAACTAATGACAAAATTAAAAAGTCTCAGCAAAGACATAAATATAGAGAAGAACACGAATGAAATTTTAGAACCAAAATATACAACAAAACCCCTACATGGATGGACTCAATAGCAGAATGGAGATGACAAAAGAAAATTCAATTTTAGCAACAGAAATAAATAACATTAAAAAATAAACATGAATAAAAACTAAGGAACCTATGGGACAATAACAAAAGATTTAAAATTTGTGTCATCAGTCCCCGAAGGAGAATGAAAAAAGAGTGTGATAAGAAAAAAATATTTGAAGAAATATTAGCTGAAAACATCCTGAATTTGGCAAAGGAGATAAATCTACATATTCAAGAAGCTCAGTGAATCCAAAACAGGAATACACACAAAGAAATCCATGCCATATTGTAATAATTGCTGAAACTATAAAACAGAAAAATTGCTGAAAATTAAAGAGAAGAAAAAAATTCTGAAAGCAACGAGAGAAAAACAATGTAGTTCATACAGGAAAACAATGTTTCAAATATCTGTGGATTTCTTGTCACAAACCATTGAAGCCAGAAGGAAGTGGCATAATATTTTCGAAATACTAAGAGATATGTGAACTCAGAATTCTATATTGAGAGAAAATATTCTTTAGTAATGAAGGTGAAAAGACATTCTTAGATGAAAAAAGTTATGAAAATTTGTCAACAGAAGCCCGGATCTAAAAGAATAACTGAATGAAGATCTTCAAACAGAGGGAAATTATGCCAGTGGGAAACATGAAAGAGCAAGAATGAAGGAATACAAACAGAAATAATAGCTATCTGGGTAAATGTATTCTTTTGCGTTCTGATGCTGAAGCAAAACGAAAATTATAACACTGTGTGATGGAGTTTTCAATATATGTAGATGTAATACATGAGACAATTATAAAGAAGAAACCTATATGGATGTAAGGTATCTACATTCCTATTGAAATGGTAAAAGAATGATTTTTAAGTAGGCTGAAAAGATAAGTATGTATATTATAATCCTTAGAACAACCATTAAAAATATACAAGGAAATATATTTTTCTATAAATATCTATAAAACATAATAGGTGAATTAAAATGGAATACTAATATATATTTAAAAACCAAATGAAGGTAGGAAAATATTATTTAAAAAGGAATAAAAAACAGAACAATTATTCTAAGCAAAATAAGTGACAAAGAAAAAGTCAAGAATCATAATTTCACTGATATGTGGGCTATAAAACTGAAAACAACAAAGGAACAAGACAAATGAATGAAGAAACAAAAACTCATAGACAGACAATAGTTTAGTGGTTACCAGAAGGTAAGGGGGGAGGGGGGTGGTAGATGAGGGTAAACGGGGTCAAATATATGGTGATGGAAGGAGATCTGACTCTGGGTGGTGAACACACAACGTGATATATAGATGATGTATTACAGAACTGTACACCTGAAACCTATGTAACTTTACCAACCATTGTCACCCCAATAAACTTTAATTCAAAACAAAACAAATCAGAACAAACAGAAGACAGATTTAAAATATGGTAGACCAAAATACAAACATATTAATCATTGCATTGAATGTAAATGCTTTAAAAATAATTGAAAGAGGGAGAGTGCCAGAATGGATATATTTTTAACATGACCATAAGCTGTCTCACTTCAAATATAATAATATAGGCAGGTTAAAACTAAAAGCATGAAAAAGATACACCATGCAAACATAACCAAAAGAAAGATGGAATGGGTATTTAATACCAAAGTAGACATCAAAGAAAACAAAAGTAACCAATAATAAACATGGACACAAAATGATAAAAGATTCAATTCACCAAGAAGACATAACAATGTTAAATGTGTATACTAACAAAATAGCATCAAATACATCAGGCAAAAATTGACAGAACTGAAAAAAAGAAATAAACAAATCTACACTATTCCATCAGTAAACAGAAGTAGTAGACAGCAATTGAGCAAAGATACAGAATAACTGAACAATACCATTCAAACATCTATATCTAACTGATGTTTATAGAGCAAGCAACGACAAAGCATACATAATTTTCAAATGCACATGAACAAATCATCAAAACAGACCATATCCTGGGTCATAAAACCAACCATAACAAATTGAGAGGAATCAAAACCATTAAAAACATATTCTCTGATCATAATGAAATTCAAGTACAAGTAAGTAACAAAGAGGCAACAAGGAAAACCTTAAAAAACTTTGAAATTAAACAACACACTACCAAATAAACAAAAAAAAAATCCTCAAAAAACTTTGAAATTAAACAACACACTACCAAATAAACATGGAACAAATAGAAAGTTTCATGGGAAATAATAAAAATTTTATCCCAGACAAGAAAAAGCTAAACGAATTCATCACCACCAAACCAGTATTATAACAAATGTTAAAGAGATGCCTTTAAGAAGAAAAAAAATGTTAAAAAAATGAATAGCAATAACTACAAACCTATCAATAACTACTTTAAATGTACATGGATTAAATGCTCCAGTAAAAGACATAGAGCAGCTGACTGGATAAGAAAACAAGACTCAGACATAGGCTGCCTACAATAGACCCACTTCAGATTGAAAGACACACACAGATTGAAAGTGAAGGAAAAATATAATTCATGCAAAAGGAAATGGAAAAAAAAACCTGGGGTAGCAACACTTACATCAGACAAAATAGACTTTAAAACAAAGTCTATAATAAGACACAAAGAAAGACACTACATAATGATAAAGGGATCAATCCAAGATGATATAGCCCTTGTAAACATGTATGCACCCACCACAGGAGTACCTAAATTTATAAAGCAAATATTGGCAAGCATAAAGGGAGAGACTGACAGAAATACAGTAATTGTAGGAGATGTTAACACCCCATGGACATTAATGGATAGATCATCTAGGCAGCAAACCAATTCCTGTTCTTGAGTTCTAGCTTCATTTTCTATTGTTGCTATAATTGATTACCACAGATTTGTGGCTTAAAACAACACAAATTTATTATCTTATAGTTCTGTAGGCAAGAAATCCCACATGGGTCTCACCAGGCTACAATCGAAGTGTTGGCAGGATGGCAGCGTTGTTCTGGGGGGTCTAGAGGAGATCTGTTCCCCAGCCTTCCCCAGCTCCTAGGGGCTGCCTGCATTCCTTGGTTTGTGGCCCTCTTACTCCATCTTCAAAGCCAGCAGTGTTGAATTTCTGACACTGCTTCCCTCCTCACATCTTTTCTCTGACCCTCTCTTCTGCCTCTCTTTTCTATATTAAAAAACCCTTGTGATTACATTGGGCCCACCCAGATAACAGAATAATCTCCCTACTTTAAAATCAGTTGAGTAGCAACCTGAATTCCAACTACAACCTCAATTCCCCTTTGCCATATAACTAAACACAGTCACAGGTGCCAGGGATTTACATATGGACATCTTTGGGGTGGGTCATTATTCTGCCTACCACAAATTCTATTGAGATGTCACATATATCATTACAGTTCACTCTCAACCCACACCTTGACTATGCACATGTAAACAAGGAAATCTTTTTCAAAATCAAAAAGTACATTTTTCTAATTTCTCATACCATAGTAAACAGAGAGCTCTTGTGCCAGATAGAACATGACTATATTTTTATGATTATCTTTGTTAGCAACAAACTCAAATGTTAGACGAGCAGTTCCCATTGACTGCTAACATTTCAAAAACTATTTTGGGGATTGAAATTGGGCCTTTAGTTGTTTGTTTTCCAAATTAAAACAAAAAACACACTCGTCTGCTCTCCAAAATCTCCCCTCTGTCCTCAACATTAGTTCATAAAAGAATATTTAACACAAAAAAAGGTAGAAAAGAATCTCAGAATAATGTGCACATCTTTAAATCATCTTAGCCTAATAAAAAATATATTATTATTATTTTTCTAATTTTGCTGATCTTTGATCTTTTTTTTTTAATCACTGTTAAGATTTTTTTTTTTATTGATTGATTGTTAGTTTCAGGTGTACAGAACAATGCAATAGTTACCCTTTTCACCCTCACAAAGTAACAACCCCCCTCCCCCCATCCACTGCTAATCACTGTTAAGATTGATTACCTGTAGCAGCTGGGCCACTGTCCACATGTGTCAAGGACTGGGGGCGGCTGCGAAGTTTGCTTTTCAAAGATCTTGGTCTACGTGGTGATGCAGGTGGCAGAGGAGTCTCTGATGATTTGGTTTTGCTATCTTTAATTACCCGAACGCGTTCAAAGAGATCCTGCAGCTCCTTATTCTGCTGGGTTTGAAGATTTACCACCTCCTGAATGTGTCTGAATGAAAATCATGCAGAAAGCATTTTAATCATACTGGCACCGAAGAGATGAGCCAAGAAGCTCTACACCAATACAAGTAAAGTTTATTTAACAAGGAATTTAGATTAAGAATGTGGAAATAGAGAATATTTTCACAATTTAATAATGAGAAATGCCTTCTTAAGCATAACATTAAACTAACCAGACATAAAAGAAAAGGTCAACAAATTGGCAAGAACAAATTTCTAAAGCTTCAAAATAGTGAAAGACAATAAAACAAAATTTAAAGTTACATAGTATTGATAGTAACCTTATCTTTATTATATGCTGCAAGTATAAACAGGAAGAAAATATCTGCATTATATAGTAAAAGGTTAATATTTAGAATATATATATAGTTACTTAAAATCAATAAGAAAAAAAGAAATTTATAGAAAAGGGAAAAATTTGAAAAGGTGACTCCAAAGAAGAGGAAATACAAATAGCCAATAAATATGAGATGCTGCACAACCTCACTATTAATTAGGAGAATACAATTTAAAAAATTTTTTTTTTTTTTTTTTTTTTAGCTGAGCCATCCTGCTACCTGTTGGCAGCTCAGCGGCTGCTCAGCTCGGGCTGGACTCTAAAAAATTTTTTAATTCACCTCATTGGAATAAAACTAAAAGGATCAATAATATCCAGTCGAATGTTGTTCAGAAGTGAGAAAACAAGCACTTCCATATATTTTTCTTTGGTGTGTAAAATGGTAGAGGTACATTAGATGACAATTTAGCAATATCTATCAATTTAAAATATATACACCATTTAACCCAGCAATTCCACTTTTAGGTATCGATCCTACAAAAATACTTGCATGAATATGTAAAACTATTAAACTGTTCACTTCAACATTGTTTACATAAGCAAAACATGGCATAAATCTGAAATGTCCATTAAGGAAGGATTAAATAAACTTTAAATGGCTACATGCTATTCCAGTATATGGAATAAAGATTATTAACGCAAATATGAATAAATATAGGCAACAAGGTTAAGTAAAAAAATTATAGACTAACATGTATATTATGATCTTACTTTTATAAAAAGCAAAAACCATATTTGTAAATACATAGAAAAATGACTCCTTCTCTCTCTCTCTCTCTCTATTATATATATACATACAGACAGACAGACAGACAGACAGACACACACACACACACACACACACCAAACAGTTCACAGTGGTTGCCTCTGAGAAATTAGATTAGGGCATGAGAAATAGGAGATTGTTTTTTGTGTGTTTTACTGCTGTGATATGATTTACTATATATATATGGTCTTTGTCCCTGTTCTTGGAACACAGCTCCTAAAAGCCTTGCAATTTCCTAAGTGATAAGAGCAATGGGAGAATCTTATAACATTTGGTCTTTTGTCCTCAAATAGCTCCAGTTCCTGAAATAGCTCCAGAGTGATAAAGGTGAAAGGAGTATCTTGTTACTCATGGCAATCCCATTTAAATCACACCTGAGTTTAGGTTAATGAAGCGACTTCTGGAAAGTCCCTAAGGATGGGGTCTGGTTTCCAGAGGGACCAACCAAATGATTCCAGGGTGAGAATTTTCATCCTCTCTGCCCCCACACTCTGGGTAGGGAAGAGGCTAGAGATTGAATTAATCACCAATGGCCAGTGATTTACGTACCTACCATAATAAAGCTTCCATAAAAATTCCTGAATTACAGGGTTTGGAGAGCTTCCAGCTTGATGAACACATGGAGGTGCTGGGAGAGTGACACTCCCAAGAGGGCATGGGAGCTCCATGCCCTTTCCCCTATAACTTGCCATCTGGCTGTTCTTGAGTTGTATCTTATTTATAATAAATCTATACTCTAGTAAGTAAACTGTTTTCCTGAGTTCTATAAACAACTCGAGCAAATTAATCGAAGCTGAGGGAGTGTTCGTGGAAACCTCCAATTTACAACAGACTAGTCAGAAGCATAGGTAATACTATCTGCTCTTGTGACTGGCATGGGGGAGGGCAGTGTTGTGGGACTGAGCTCTTAACCTGTGAGATCTGATGCTATTTTTGAAGTTTTCAATCATAAAAAAGTTTTTAATCATTAAAATGTCACCAGTTCTAAATTAGCTAACAATCAGATGCTTAGTTCTAGAAAATCCAAGGCAACTAGATTGGCAACAAAAGAGAAACAATTCTTACTTTTCTCGTAATTTTTGAAGCTCCACCTTTAAGTCCTCATCCTCTATTTCTGACTCATCATCACTGCTCATTGGGGAAGATGGAGAATAGAAGAGTGAGCTCTGTGTTTGAGCATAGCCTTTTTCTCCACGGAGTGGCAAGCGCTGACCACTCTCTGGACGAGTCTTTGCCACTGACTTCCCTCTGCCAGCAAGAGTGGCTGAAAATTCACCATCAGAGTTAGGCTGTTTCCCTACAGTAAGTATCTCTCTCTCTTTACGTAACAATTTAGATCCAGACTGCGTGCTACTTCCCACGGCTGAAATTTCTTCCAATTTCTTTTTTGGGATCATAGAAGATTTACCAGTCTTACAAGCTGTGCTGGAAGATGAGAAGTTGTCACCTTGCTTGGGAATTCTTTTATCTTCCTTAAAGGTTGAATGAGGAGCTTGTAACTTCATAGAAGATTTACCAGTCTTACAAGCTGTGCTGGAAGATGAGAAGTTGTCACCTTGCTTGGGAATTCTTTTATCTTCCTTAAAGGTTGAATGAGGAGCTTGTAACTTCTGAGGAGAAAATAAAGTTTGTGGATTGTGCGTGGCAGGTTTCATTTTTACCAAATGAGCCTTTGATGTTTCAGTAAAGGCTAGAGCTTCTTCACTAGAATGGCTTGTCATTTCCTTAAATACTGCTGGTATGTGCTCTTTTCCAGATGATTTCACTTTCACTGATTGCTCCTGAGGAACTGTAATCACCTGAGATACAAAAAGGCAAAAGTGGCTGGCTCTGCCTAACCAAAGAGTTAACCCACAAAGAAATTCAATATCAGTATAGGGCACAGCAAAGTGGATGGTCTGCTTCTGACACACACATATCGATAACAACAACACTTAAAAATCCCATCTATATACCCCATGTTCAAAGTCTTTCACATGGTGCCCTTGGGTAAAGAGAGTTGGCTTTGTATTGCTCAAATAAAACACCACAACTTAAAAAAAATTCCACAATTAAAGTTGCTGAGATTATAAAGGATATGAGATTGGCTTTATACAAAAGATGACCCAATCGCCCACTACAAAATGATGACTCGTTGCTGTGCTCTCTTCCAGGTACTAAAATCCCCATTTCTTCAGACTCACCTTTACTGGATAGCTTCAAAAGATGAGGGGATGCATGTAAGGGGAACAAATTAAATATGACAATGATCTAATTTAAAGTAAGTATTACCTACAGACCAAGGTCTCCAATGCTCTTAACTGTTATAATGCCCTTGTAGGTAAGGATTCAACCAAAGACACAAACCTGAAACCGACCCCGCTGAAATGATCCAGGCATCGCTTTATATCTACTCAAAGCTCTAGTATCAGCTGTGGCCTCTCTTGTCATAGGAATGGGATCAGGAGCAACTGCTGATCTCTTATCTTCTGTTTCCACTGCAGGTTTTGCCAATTTGTAAGCAGAAAAGAGAAAATTATTTAAGACTACATTTGTTTTACATTACCAAAAATGAAGAAAAGTAGAAAAAGCTTAACTCCTGCTAGACAATTAAAAAGTGTTAATGTAATAAGCAACACTGTAAAGTCCCTAACTCTAAATCAGACATTGCAAGACTTATCCCAAGACTTAGTATCTATATGAAATGAATAACTGTAAAATCAAATTAGTTACAAAAGGAAAAATAAAATGGCAATGACATTAATGGGATATGTCACATACATGGGCTACGTGGAAAAAGTGGCAAGACTTGTGTATGAACAACAATAAAAAAAAATCCCAAAAACAAAACAAGTAAATGAAAAGTGATGTTACCTAGTCTATGTCCCTGACTGTAAGCACACTACCTTGACAGACTTTTGATCTCTTGAAAAAGCTGGTTGACTGCCGTAGCCTGTATGCCCAGCTTTTAAATTTGCGAGTCCAGGATTTCTTGCTAATAGGATTTTTGAGACTAGGACAAGTAAAGCTTAGGCCAAAATATCCACCTCCTGTCTGCAGACGAATGGCTCCACCACTTGACACAGCAGCAGGATAGGCCTCTGGATCCCCTGGAAGTGAAGCATCTGGAGACATCTCCTAATGGAGACAAGAGGAGAAAAATCAAAACTGTAATAATTTAGATAAGGTGAAGCAGTTGTTCATAACTTTGCAGTTTCCTGTGGACTAATCAGTAATCAAAAATAGAATGCCATGTATACTTGTATTAATAGTGCCATATCAGACTGAACCTGGATATTCAACTTACAGGAATTAAGCCTTCCCCTTTCTTTAAAAATACTATTTATACTTCAGATAAATGAGAAAAATATTAATCTTCTACCCTAGAATATTTTTCCTCAAAGCAACATTGAAATCAGAAAATTAAAATTATTTCCTTCATATGCACCAGTTTACTAAAAAGGTAACTGAAACCCTATACTCTTAAAATGAAAATTTTTATTTATGCTTGTGTTATTTAAGAGTTAGTAAAAGATTCCTGACATAAATGGTAATATAGAAAAACAAAATAACTAGGCATTTAGATTTACAGAGAAACATTACCAAATCAGGTTTCTTTATGTAAGCACTCATAAATTAACAATGGATCTTAAAATTATTTCAAATTCATGCTCTAAAACGTGTTAACATCAGGCCACGGGTGACTGTAAAAATCACTCTCCCCTCTTTTTGTCCTCCCATCTCTTCCCTAAAAAAGCCAGAACTAACTAATATGCTCCAAATGAGTACTTTAAAAATACACTCCCTATAATAATATACAAAATTAATATATATAACCACAAGTACTTTGGGAAATGTGAGAATGGTCACCAGAAATCTAGAAGATTAAGAGTATTTAAAAGCTCAAAGAATGGGATTTAACACAAGTCTGAAAGAAGAGAGCCTAAGCAGCACTAAGCATACCACAGTCTTGGGTTATTAGACTAAGAATTATTAACCCTAAGAATTATTAACACTTAGGGTGGGTCAGCAGTTACTGAAAATAAAATTCTGAACAATCAGTTTTAATTTTCCAAAGTCCCACTTTTATAATAGTAATAATACTATTTTCATGAAGAGAAAAAACACTCTCAACAATATGATTTAGAAAGTGTTACATTGGTCCTACTGAAATTACAGAGAAGATTTTTAATAAGTAATAACTAGACCTATATAGTAAATTAAATACAAGTTCTAGCCTCCTTTACCAATCCAAATCCATAGACACGACAGGAAAAACAGATGTAGACATATGCATATATAATTAAAGGAGGAAAAAGTAGCCCATGACATATGCAGGAAGTGTTTCAAAATGCTGCAAAATTATGCGGCGGATATAGGCAGCAGGAGAGAGCCCTGGGCAACCAAAAGGATGAATGTTTGGCTAGAACTCTTACAAAGCTCTACACGATCTGTCTTCTATATGCCTCTTCATCACCTCATAGCTCCCTATTACTGGCCTTCTTTTGGTTCCTTGAACAGGTCTACACCTGTGAATGCTACCATCAAATACAAATTTTTCCTTGACTACCCTATATTAAGTAATCCCCTAGGTTTTTTATCATAGCCCTTTACTTATTTGTTTAGGGTCTATTTTCCCCTACTAGAATGTGCGGTACACAAAAACAGAGATCTTGACTTATTCACTGCCAGGAGATATTCACTGAGTGGAAGGGTGAACTGGTTGGGGTAACAAAGAAGGAACAGCCAGGCAGTTCTGGCCCTTCCCTCCCAACCTCCACAGCAAGCAAAAGACAGCAGAGGTATCTGCTCCCAAATGAAAGTGGCAAGAGGAAAATGTTTGTAGCCAAGAGAAAGGTCAGCAATCTAAGGAGCAGACGACATGCAGGAGGAAGGGGAAACTCTTCTACCTTTGAAAACTAGCTAATGGGCCATGTGCTAGGCAGCATTAGAGACAAGGTGCAATATCCAGTGCCAGGAAGCATGTCCTACACCTTTCTCTCAGTTACTGGAGGAAGGCTACAGTAATGGTGTACAGCATTTATGGAGAGACAAACAAGAAATATGATGGTGGGCGGGGAAGAAAAGATGAGTACACAACTAAGGCTCAACAAACACTTAATGGGAAATGAACACAATAAGAAAACACTAAACTCAACAAACCGAAGAACAGCCAAGGAAACAGCATTAATAACATAGACTAAGACTTTAATATCTTCAAAGATGTGTGAATATACTACATCCATAAGAAAAAGAATAAACTACTGTTACTAGAAATTAAAAATATAATCCTTGACATAAAAAATAGCTGAATAGGACACTGGAAACAGCTTAAAAACTAAGAAATTCTCCCAGTACAAAAATCAAACGGACAGGGCCGGCCGAGTGGCTCAGTTGGTTAAGAGTTGGCTTAAGAGCACGAGCTCTGAGCAACAGGGCCGCCAGTTCGATTCCCACATGGGATGGTGGGCTATGCCCACAGGCAACTAAGGCTGAACTTGTCACCTTAAGCTGAGCTGCTGCCTGGATGGCTCAGTGGATAGAGCATGCGCTCTTAACAACAAGGCTGCTGGTTCGACTCCCACATGGGATGGTGGCTACGCCCACCCACAACTAAGATTGAACACAGCACCTTGAGCTTAGAGGCCACAAGCTGCCGACGGGAAGCCAGATGGTGACTGGCGCCCTCCACAACGAAGACTGAAGAACAACAACTTGGCTGGTCCCTTTCCCCAATTTCCCAACACTGTTTCACTCCCCCAATTCCCCAATAAAATCTTAAAAAAAAAAATCAAAGGGACAAACAGAAAGCATGAAAAGTTAATAGATAAGAAAACAGGAAATGAAGAAATAAAACTATCTCCTTTCACAGATCCTAAATAATACACCAAAAGCTATTAGAGCTAATAAACAAACTCAGCAAAGTTGTAGGATACAACATCAACCCTCAAAAATCAGTTACATTTCTATACAGTGGCAAGGAAAATCTGAAAAGAAAATTAAGAAAACAATTCCATTTATAATAACAGCAAAGATAATAACATATGGTGCTGGATAGCCACATACAAAATAATGAAGCTGCACCCTTATCTCACACCATATATAAAAATTAACTCAAAATGATCCTACCATATGTACTTAGTCAATCAAGTGTGAAGCACAATACACATTTTTGGACATTAAAAAAATTAGTTACCCATGTAAATTTTAAAATATTACTCATAGAAGCATTTTACGGGGGAAAAGGAATTGTAGGACACCAGAAACAATGGCAGGTAAGTTTGACCCAGATGTAGCAATGGTCACTTGAAACGAACAAAAGGATCCATTTAATCTGGACAGTTGGAAGTCTCCTTTGAGTAAAAAAGTTTAAATGACAGAGAAATACATTTCATTTTTTTTATGGTTCAAATCACATTACGTGATCATTAGCTAACACATATAATCATAATATAAATACTGTTTATTGATTTTCAATTCTTTGAATCAACCTATAGGCAAAGCACAACCAATTGTTACAGAAGTAAAATATAAGATGTTAGAACTTTACCCATGTTAAAAAGTAATATAAGGGCCGGCCGAGTGGCGTGATGGTTAAGAACTGGCTTGGGACGCCAGAGGGCCCCGGTTAGGATCCCATATATGAGGGCCAGTGACACTGCCCTCCACAGCTAAGATGCTGAACAACAGCTCAACCTGGAGCTGGGCTGCCATGAGTCACTGGCGACGGCATAGGCTGCAGCCTCTGTGGCAGTGGGTTGCCAAGGGCTACCGTGTGTAGCCAGCAGCCAGCGTGAGCGGCCAGCAGCCAGCATGAGCCGCCAGCAGCCGCAGTGAGCGGCCGTCCAGAAGCCGGCGACTGATCTGCCTCGCCCGGGAAGTGCGCAATGATGGTGCCAACTTGGGCCAGTGAAGCAACATCCTCCACAACTAGACTGAAGAACAAAAAACGACAGCAACTTGTCTGTTCCCCCTCCCCAATTCCCCAGCTCTGTTCCCATCCCCCCAATTCCCCAATAAAAATCTTTTAAAAAAAAGTAATATAAGTAATAAAAACTCAAGAGGTGTACAAGGAAGAAAAGTGGAGGAAAGGAAAAATAAAAGAATGTCCTCACCCTTCTTAGCAGTGAGTCAATAGGTATGGTCTATTATTACTAAATCAAAAAATACATGAATAAATATATATTTACAAGTTATTAATGGCAATGACCACAAGAATTAAGACCAGGAACGTAATAGTTCGGGGAGTGCAATGCAGGGTGAGAGGGTATTAACACAACAATTACTTTTAATTTTCTATTCTTCTGAATTACTTTCATGTTTATGTATTAATTGAATAATTTAAAATTACTTATCAAAAAAATATTTCAATTATATCTATTCAATGGAATATTATACCCTTGTTTAAAAAGTTAAGTGACGTAGAACTATGTGTACTGACATGATAGATGTCCATAATAAATATAAAAAATGCAGACCAGTACATATATGTAAAGAATAATATGTAAATATGTAATATATAGCCATACCTTTGTAAATATATAATACAGATAAATAAATATGATGTATATATAAATATGTGTATGTTAATTAAAACCATGTCTGGAAAGATTTGGAAGTGGGGTGGATTTTACTTTACATATATGTAAATGCTACTTATGCAATAATAATAAAGAGATACAGTGGTAAAGATTTACAATAGAATGACGTCTACAATATATTATAAAATGGAAAAATCAAATTGTAGACCAATATATATAGCACAATCTTATTTTTGTAAATGAAAAATTTCAAGTATGTAAATAGACCTGTGTAAGCTTAAGTCAAGAAGGGTAAGTGCCAAATACTAATAGATAAACACCAGATGATGGTTTACCTCTGTGATACGAAGAGATAGAAAAGGGAAGTTAAATTCCTACATTACATAAGTTAAAAAAAGAAAAACGTCATGAGATTATGGATGATTTTTACTTTCTTTTTAAAAAAAATTTCAAATAAATTAAAACCCACAAAACAAGATTAAATTAAAACCATAAAAATTATTAAAGGAAACTGATAACAAGCATTTTTAAGTGGAAATATAAAAGTAAGCTTTCCTACCAAATAAAACAATCTATAAATCAGTTCTGTTCTTGTTATTAATACAAAAATAGACATGACAAGTTCCTAGCTAAATCACCAGAGGGCTCTCTCACCAAAGACAGTTCTGCAGTCTCTATCAATGAGTACTGAGTACTTGCAACCTAAGTCATGGCCTTCTCAAATACGTGTGACCTGAGAATCTTGTGACCTAGACAATTTCATTCCAAAGATCAGAACTTTAGAAAAGAAAGCATTTGTTTACAAGCATAAAGGATAAGGAATTGATTGGAAATAATTATACTTACATGTAAACATAATTCGCTGGGTACAGAAGTTATCACATTCAGGTCCCTTTTGAACACTGATGTGTTAGCAGGCTGACTTGCAGCCACATTAGGCAAAATCCTAGAGCCTGTTTGCTGAAAATTAGGGGACTGTGCAGGGCTATCTTGAATTCCACCGTGACTGATGGCTATGACTTCTGGCAGTGGACATGAGAGTGTATCTTCAGCAGAGGAAGAAAATGGAGAGTCCATGCTTTGGGTATCCTTCTGGCTCTCAGGATAGACACTAGATATGTTATGCTCCTGATAGAGCAAGTTCCGTAATTTTTCATCCAGACTTTTAATTCGGTTATCTGCAAACTCCATTTTTGGAGGTCTTTCCCCATCTGATTCCAGGACAGTAGTGGGTAGAAGGGTAGTTGGTTCAAGGCCAGAGGTTTGAGTGGGAATGACCGTCTTAGGAGAACTTATTTCAGTGTTCACCGTGGTTTCTCCTTCTTGGGAAATAAACTCTGCATCCTTAGTTGGCTGCTGTACTGATAAGGACTGAGGCTTTTGATCAGACATAAATGCCGGAATTATAAGAGAGTTACCAGTAATCTGAGTTGACTCACCAGGAGGAGTCATAAGTATATCAGCCTGACTGGCAGCTTGGTGACATGGATGCACAAATAGGAATATGCCTGCTTGGTTGTAGAGTCCCTCACTTTCAACTGGAACTGCACAAACTGAAGTGGCAGTACAAATGGAACTACTAGCAACTGGCGCCATTATACACCCGTCTTCTTCCACTGGATAAAACATAGCTGGCTTAGTTTCTACACTGGTACATTCAGAAATCTTACCATCAACTACCTCCTTGTGTTCTGACTTGGAGGTGAAAAGTGCACGCTGGCATGTATTATTTTCTAGAGTGAGCAGTGTGTCCTGTGATGTTTCCTTATTATTTGTGTTTCTTGGACCTGGAACAATAATAAAGAATGGCTAAGCATGTATTGATAAGTACAAAGCATAGACTAGTACCCAAAGTCAAAAGGGACATGAGGAGCAAGGGGCAAACAACAACCTGTGTGAAAGTACTTTTGGAAATAAGACTCAAAATACACAAAATTCAACCTGTCAAGGAAAAAAAAACCAAAACAAACCTTTTTCTTTTTTCATAAATATTAAATACAAATGGCTTAAGTTACACCCTAGTATTAACGTCTTCAAAAATGCTTATAGGGGCCGGCTGAGTGGCTCAGTTGCTTAAGAGCTCGCTCAAGAGTTTGAGCTCTGAGCAACAGCAGTTCGAGTCCCGGCCCGAGCTGAGCAGCCACTGAACTGCCAACAGGTAGCAGGATGGCTCAGCTAAAAAAAAAATGCTTATGAGGGGCCAGCTGAGAGGCCCAGTTGGTTAAGAGCGCAAGCTCTGAGCAACAGGGTCGCCGGTTCGATTCCCACTTGGGCCGGTGAGATGAGTCCAAGCTGAGCTGCCGCTGAGCTGCCAACAGGTGGCAGGATGGCTCAGCTGGTGAGAGCACATTCTCCTAACAACAAGGCTTCCGGTTCAACTCCCCCATGGGATGGTGGGCTATGCCTGCCCGCAACTAAGATTGAACACGACGGCACCTTTAGCTGAGCAGCTGCAAGCTGCTGACGGGCGGCTGGATGGTGACTGGACTTGGAGGTGAGCTAGCTGCACCCTCCACAACTAAGATTGAAGGACAACAACTTGGCTGTTCCCCTTCCCCAATTCCCCAACACTGTATCCCTTCCCCAGTTCCCCAATAAAATCTTTAAAAAGAAATGCTCATGAAAATTTTCATAAGCACAAAATACCCATGAAAAGAAGTTATAGATGTGGACCATATTTTGTAGCCCCATCCTCCAAATCTGGATAAAGTTTGCAGAGAATGAACACTTACTAGGAAGTGGATGTAGCCCAGGAATTGTAGACATGGACTGCTGAAGTGAAGGAGGAGATTGAGCCTCACGGTTTCTTATTGTTTGATTGATACAGAATCGCCACCGACCAACTGGGGATGACTGAGGAGCAGATTCATCTGTAGAAAGAATTAGCAAAATTTAATATGCTAAGCAATTGTCAATATGTTTACCTTATTAACTAAGAAAACCAAGTTAAAAAACCAATTTGTCTTGGATATCCATTTTCACAGCACTACGATATGTGTAATTTATAAGACCAGACCTGAACCTGACAGATACTCTAAAGAACTAAGCTTAAGATGTGTTTTGAGAAGAATTTTAGATTCTACTGAAACAAACATTGTATCAGTAGCTAACAAGAAGCAGAGTGCTTTACAGGGGTGGAAATGGAAAGCACTTTTACCATTAAAACCTATGTCTCAGGCCGGCCGAGTGGCACGATGGTTAAGAACAGGCTTGGGATGCCAGAGGGCCCCGGTTCGGATCCCACATATGAGGGCCAGTGACACTGCCCTCCACAGCTAAGATGCTGAACAACAGCTCAACCTGGAGCTGGGCTGCCGTGAGGCGACGGTGTAGGCTGCAGCCCCTGCTGCAGTGAGTTGCCATGGGCTACCGTGTGTAGCCAGCAGCCAGCGTGAGGCGTGAGCAGCCGCAGTGAGCGGCTGTCCAGAAGCCAGCGACTGATCTGCCTCGCCCAGGAAGAGTGCAGTGATGGTGCTAACTTGGGCCAGTGAAGCAACATCCTCCACAACTAGACTGAAGAACAAAAAGACAGCAACTTGTCTGTTCACCTTCCGCCAATTCCCCAGCGCTGTTCCCATCCCCCAATTCCCCAATAAAAATCTTTAAAAAAAATTAAAAAAAAAAAAACAACCTACGTCTCCTGTTTTGTATCCTGATTATGGTGGTGTTTACACAAACATACACGAGTAATAAAATTTACAGAATAAGTCAGACGGAGAAAGATAAATACCATATGATCTCACTTATATGTCGAATCTAAAGAACAGAATAAATGAGCAAACTAAACAGAAAGATTCGCAGAGATATAGAGAAAAAACTGATGGTTGCTAGATGGGAGGGGGGTAGGGAAGAGGAAGAAGGTAAAGAGATTAGAAATTACAAATTAGTAGCCACAATATTGCCTTGGAGATACGAAATACAGTTTGGGGAATATAATGAATAATGTTGTAAAGATTTTGTAGGGTGTGAGATGGGTACTTGTCTTATTAGGGAGACCACTTCATGGCCTGACGACTGCGCTGTACACCTGAAGCTGAATAATACTAAATGTCAACTATAATTTTTTATATATATATATAATTATATATATGTGTGTGTGTGTGTGTGTGTATATATGTATGTATGTATGTATGTATGTATATGGTCACGGGATGTGCAGTACAGCATAGGGAATAGAATCAATCGAATTATAACACCTATATACGATGTCAGAGGAGTAGTAGATTGGGGGAGGAGAGTTATCACTTTGTGAGGGGTGTAAATGTCTAACTATTATGTTGTTTTGTACACCTGAAACTAATAACAAAAATTTAATTAAAAAATGAAATTTACAGAACTGTACACCAAAAGAAAAGTAAGTCAATTTTACTGTACAACTTATAAAGTAAAATAAGTCCCTACATCTTTATTCCTACTTTGTAAACTTATTCAAATAATAATTCTCTTTTAAACTTTACCCTATTTTGTCAGTCAGAAATCTGCTCAGTCTCCCGCTAATGAAAAACAGAAGATAAAGGAAGACCTTGGCATTCTAACACAAACTAAATTTCAGGGTAATGAGATCTGGTTCCATGACTCCCACACCACCTGTTGCTTCTTCATGTGATTATAATTGCTTCAGAGGTCCTCATTTGTCTATGGCTCTTCTCCCACTCCTAGATATTCTAAATATACTCATGACCAGGGCTGAGAAGAATGGAAAGATAAAGTCATCAGAAAAGAAAAAGGACCCCATTTTTAGTCCTTGGAAGTTTCTCTAGTTATCTGATTTACAAAAATTTAGTTATCAGAGCGAGCAGAAGCATATCACTGGTGAATGAAATCAAGATATGAATGACTATTAAAACGTGAGGCAAACTTAGAACATAATGATTTCTGTTAAGGAAGTTTCTGTCCATCTCAAAAAGGTATGTGTGTGTGGGGGACTTACCAGTTAAGTTCAAACAGTAAAGCCATTAAAGGTCATCAGTACTGTGACTGCATTTCTGGTAACATACCATGCGACAACTCAGAAATAAATTAATCAGATAAAGAACCAACACTCAGAGGAAAGCTGGAGAATGATTTTACTTCTTACGCTTCTTTCTTTGGGACTATACAGTCTTTTCAAAGTGTGGGAAAGCCTACATTAACAATTCCTTTATTGGCTAACATCTTTCCTAATGAAGGTGTGTAAATTAAACTTTCCAAATGTCTTTCTTCAAAAGCCAAATGGTAAATTTTATTAAATATACTTACTGCTGGTTTGAGTGGATGCAGAATTTATCTGTACTTGTTCAGATGATCCTGTCTAAATTAAAAATGAATAGATAAATAAAGAAGTTCCTGATATATATCCGAGAAGACCTATTTGCTAAACAATTGCTCTTACTTGGCTGATGTTGGATTCCATGGTAATGGAGTCAACTCCAGCGGCTCTTTCTGTAGCAGAGTGGATATGAAGGATCTCCTGAGCATGACCTACAATAGCCCTCAATTCTTCTACAAATTTTTCTTTCTCACTTTCCAGCACAAAGTTATCTTCGACCTGTCCAAAAGTAAATGTAAGTCTGTTCATGAGAATAAATTTAATTTCTTCAAAATAAAAATATTGTATCAATGGTGACCATGCTAAAGAAAAATAAATTAAAATTAAATATTTAGAGCCAAATGCTACAACAAAATTAACAAAAACCAGGGGGGAAAATGCCACATAATACATTAAATTATTCTTGCTATTTTGAGACGACTGACATTTGTCAGATTGGCACTACCTACCAAAGAAGAAGCCAACATTTTAAAAACTTTCTGAAATTCGATAAATTGATTGTCATTTGAGGAACATAACTGAGGCAATGTTTATGTTTAAAACTAGATGTCCAAACCCAAAAGCTTTTAAATCACAAAATGAAGCATCTCTAACGGTAAAAATAAAGAATGGCCTGGAGACAGTTCAGAAACTATTATGTTAAACAAGAGGCAGAACTGACAAAATTTTTAACTTTTAAAATGTTTAATTCTGCTTGGCCAGGAATGTATATCTAAAGAAAATTGGCATAAATAAAAGCATTATGGACTTTTCCTGCCACCCTAGCCCATCTCCATTTTTCAAAAAGGGAAAAAAATAATTTAAGCCTAACAAGTCAAAGAAAATATGAAAACTAAATGAAATGATGAACATTACTTGAACACCTATATAATAAGATGTTATATCAGTAGCTAACAAATTAGAACTAGCTGGGAAAATTTACAAAGTCTTAATGCTTAGGCCTCACCTCCAAAGATTCTGATTTAATTAGGGACCCAGGGAATTGTTTTTAAAAAACTCTTCAGGTGATTTTAACATGCCGTCAGGCATAAGAACCACTGGCCTAGATCATGTTAATGAAATCCCCTCATAATTTGCAGATAACTATATTGAAACCACAGGAGGTGCAGTAACTTCTTGATCATAACCAATTTAGTTCTACACAAATTTTAAAAACTGACAGTATCCTAAAAAAAGATAGCTCTGAATAAATGAGGGGGAGATTTAGAGGGGGGGAAAAAAGACAGAAAACACTACAGGGAAAATCATTTGGTTTTATCGTACTTACCATATAGTCTGCAATGTCCTCTGGTGAATCACCATCAACATCGAACTTGAAGGTGACCATTTTGTTATTGTGTGTCTCCAGTTGACACTCCACCATGTTGTCTCCAGAAGTTGACACCTGGGAACAAACATTTCACCACCAGTTTAAGAGTCAATCATTATCTTCTCTTCGCAAATGGTGCCGGGAACATTTAGATGAGCTCACATACAATACATAGGAAATGTGGTTTAAATTGTTCAGAATCTTAGAAGATTGTTTTTCCCTTGGTGAAATACTGCCTAAACAACCATTCTATGACAAATCTAAGGCTCAAATAACTTGGCAAAAAATAAGTTACAAATGTGATCCTGTGGAGAAGAAAAGGAAACACAAATTTTATAAAAAGGCAAAAAAAAGCTATAATATTCACTTTAGCTATCTGCAATGCAAATATCTAAATTTGGTCATTCGTTTCCAAAATTCTCTTAATCCCACAAATTGACTCCTCAGTCAGAAGAAAATGCACTACTAATGGAAATGTAAACTGGTCCAACCTTTGTGGACAGTGATCTAGCAACATGTAATATTCATACTCTTTGACTCACCAATTCTACTAGGAATCTAACATAAGGAAATAATCAGGGATATGTAGAAAGATTTGTGCTCAAGGGTGTTTGCTGCAGAGATAGAAATGGAGATGGACAGACAGACACAAAGAGAGAGAAAGACAAGAGTTAGAAAAAAGACAAACTGGCAGAAAGAGACAGAAAGAAAGCCTAAATGAAGAACAGAAGGACTGATTAAGTTATTATATCTCTATACAAGGGTCTATCTAAGACAGCCATTTCAAATATGTTATTGGAAAATTAATTAAAGACACAGTAAAGTGTACATAAGTTTTTTTAAAAGGCAGTATATAAAATTATATATAAGGTTTAGCATCCATCCAATATACTGGTTAGAGATATGGGCTTCAAAGTCTGATCTGGATTCAGATCTGACTCTGGCTTGCTAGCTGAATATCCTTAGGCAAATTACTTTACCTTTCTAATCTTCATTTTTAAAGATAAGTATACTACCACCTATCACACTTTCACTACTATTACTAGTACTATTACAATCTTAATGTAAAATGCTACACATACATACAGAAAAAGATATGAAACAAACTAAAACTTTAACAGGAACTAGCTCTGAGTGTACAAGTGATTTTTAATTTCTTCCTTACATTTTCCCTATATTGCCTAAGTTTAACAATTAATGCATAACTCTTATCAGAAATTTTCTTAATGGAGGAAAAGTTAATTGAGAGTTTCACAATACTCTGCCTGCAAAGTAACAATGCCCCTCCCTGACATCAAGACCTCTACACTCACATATGCAAACCAATTTACACACTGACCTGAAGGACAGTAAGCTGGAATTTAGTCCCCTTCTCTGGTCGAGGACAGGAAGCTCTTCTCTGTTTGCTCCGATCTTGTTTGCCATTTCCACTTGGATTATCAGGGGTATTGGTGATTTCCTTCACAGCTGCCACATCATGATGTAAACTAGTAATTAAAAACAAAAAAGCAGCTTCTATTCAATTTCTCAGAGCAGACAGTATTCCATGATTCTGAAAGCCCAATATTTAACCCAAATCAGAGGTAACATTTGAAATACCTTCACAGCTAGAATCATTCCATCCTGATGATAAAATTCAAAGAAAAACTCCCAATTCTAAAATCATAACTAATGAGTTTAAGGAAAATAAATAGTACAATATCTTTTTAAAAGTTATGATTGCACAGCTCTGTGAATATACTAAAAACCATTGAACTGTACACTTTAAATGGGTGGATTTAATGGTATGTGAATTATATCTCAATAAAGCTGTCTTCAAAAGTTATGAAAAACTGAGGTCACACTGTATTTATTTGACAAACATCTCACAGTAAGGAAAGTGAAAGAAAAACACTGCCAGTGATGGGCCTCTGTGGAACCTTTTATCAGAGGACATTCTTGATCAACTTTATCTTGGTTTTTGTTTGGGGGGGGAGGGGTGTTCTTATTAATATGTTCAAATAAACCCTCTAGAAATCAATTCTTACTCAAAATATACTTTTTTATGTAATTGACTCTACAGGGGATATACAAATCAGATATGGGAGACAAATGGTGCAGGAGGCAGAACAAGAAATGAAAATAAGATAAGGAAAATGTGATATATATTACACAATGGAATATTATCTAGCCAAGAAAAGTAATGAAATCTCAGCATTTGTGACAACATGGGTGGACTATGAGGACATTATGCTAAGTGAAATAAGTCAGAAAGAAAAAGACAATTATCATATTATCATATAATCTAACTTACATGTGGAATAAAAAAACACATGCTCATAGACACAGAGAATAGATTGGTGGTTGCCAGAAGTGGGGAGCCAAGGGGTGGGGGTAGGAGGTAGGCAAAATGGGTAAAGGGAGTCAAAGGCACAAACTTCCAGTTATAAAGTAAACAAGTCATGGGAATGTAACGTACGGCATGCTGACTATAGTTAATAGAAATGTATTGCATATTTCATAGTTGCTAAGCATAGGTGTTAAAAGTTCTCATCACAAGAAAAAAAATCTGTAACTGTGAGGTGATGGATGTTAACTAGAACTATTGTGGTAATAATTTCACAATACATCAAACATCAAATCATTATGTTGTGTACTGAAAATAATATAAGGTTGTATGTCAGTTATACCTCCATATCAATCAATCAGTTGAATTCACCACAACTTTGGTTAAAAAATGAATCATGTGAAAAGGGTTCAACATGATTAATTCTAGCTAGTCCTATTTTGCAGGTTCAAATCAATATGATTATGAAAAGGTAGACTAACTTTCAGTTTATCTGTGTCAAGGGCATTTTTCAGTTTTTTCTTTAATAAGTTTGAAGAAATTTCAATAAACACATTTGAAACTTAAACGAGATCTGTAAGCACCAATCAGATATACTTTAAATTAATTTTTAGGTAAAGTCCTCCTAAAAACTACTCATGAAGTGTGTGTATTAAGATATATAAGAAGAAGAGCCGGCTGAGTGGCTCAGTTGGTTAAGAGGTCGCTCAAGAGTTTGAGCTCTGAGCAACAGTGGTTCGAGTCCTGGCCTGACCTGAGCTGTCACTGAGTGGCCAACAGGTGGCAGGATGACTCAGCTAAAAACAAACAAATAAACAAACAAAAAACAAAAAACAAAAGAAAAAAGAAAATTCCTTGTCATACCAAAACCCAGGAAAATCACAATTTGAATTCAAAAGACAATCAACAGATGCCAATGCCAGGATGAATCAGGTATTAGAATTAACTGACAAGGATTTCAAAAAGCAGCCATCATCAAAATGCATCAATAAGCAATTATAAATACTCCTGAAGCAAATGAAAAAACAAACTATCATAAAATAGAAGATGTTAAAAAAGAACCAAATGGAAATTATAGAATTAAAAGTACAATCATAGAAAAAAACAACTCATTGAATGAGCTCAATACCAGAATGAATAAGACACATAAATCTATCAGTGAACTTGAACACAGAATAGGAATTACCCAATCTGAACAACATAGAGGAAAATATTAATTTATAACTACCAAATAATTTACATCTGGTTATAATTTATTTCTTTAGATTAGCTGGAATTCTACTCTAAATTACGTTAGTTCTTCTTTTTTTTAACCCTTATAAGCCTTTCTTAGGAACAGAATGCTATAATAATGAGAACAAGAAAATGGTCAATAATTTCACAATCATATGATCTTTATTAAAATAAAAAAGTAAAAATCATAGATACTATTTTTATTGAACATACACATAAATACAAGAACACAGAAGTTTCTCTAGTCAAGACACACTAACTCTCTAATGAATCCAAATACTTCAACATACCCTTATCATTTTCATGGTGTTAATTTGAAGATACTCACCTTCGAACTAAATCCGGTTTTAGAAGAGTTGCTTGTTGTTCAACTGCAACTGGTTGGGAGACAGGCTGTAAATAGTACAGAAATAAAACTTGTTATGATAACAGCAAACTTCAAGTTAAAGATGCAAATTGCTATTATTTCAGAAAACGTACTTGTTACATTTCATATTTTGGACCTCACAAACCAGGTAGAATATCTACATTATTGAAAGTCTATATCAATCCAATTATTGATTTTACTACAAAAGATAAAGAAAAATAAAATCTAACAGTACTCATATTCACAAAGATTTTTCATTAAGATAGCATTGTTTTATATGCTTTTGTTTCTGTTATTTTTCAATGGAGAACTTCCAGTCCTGATTGTAAAACTACTACTAAAAGGAAGAGTTGCTGCCATTACATAAACTGATAAATCAATGACTCAAGCTTTAACATATTGTGTTGTCTTGCTTTCTCACTCTTTTCACAAAACTACTGCCAAGTATCCCTGAGGTATTAGTAACCAGCAGCTGCAATACTGACTTCTAGGAGAAAAGTTTAAGGCCTCTAAAAAAGGCAAATGCTAACCCTGCTGGAAAACAATTTTAAACATTTATCTAATCCTATGCACTGCCACTGGTGACAGCAGAATAACCTTAAAATTCAAATCTACCAAAATTGATCACTTCCCTACCCAGTTTAAACCCCCTATAATAGCTCCTCATCTTCTATAAGGTGTTTTTTTTTAACTACAAAAAGCTTTCCTGTTTGTTTGCTTCACAGCATGGGAGAGGGCTCCAGGATGGTTAGAAGGCTGTCTAGTGGTTGCAGGTAGAGGCTCAGGTAGAAGTTCAACACCAGAGGGATGCAGAGATGTCCTCAAAGGCCTCTGGGCTCCACAGCTCCTAGTCGTGCTTGAGGGTGAGCCTTTAGAAGAGATACTCGCCCGGCCTGGGGGCTGGCCATCCTGCAGAGGTTAGTCAGGTGATCTCCCATCTTGATGAGTTGTACCTCCTCATCTAGGAAGTGGCTCTCCAGGAAGTCACAGAGATGGAGGTCTCTGTGGGCAGAACCCAGGGCATGGAGATACAAAAGGTTCAGGTTCTTCTCCATGACCGTGGCAGATTCCATGGCTACTCATCTTGGGAAGGCTTCTGCACGTCCTGGAAGAGGGCACGGCTGCCACACTGGTTTTACAACTTCAAAAGACATTCAGCAACTTCATGCTTCTCCTTGTCCAACTCACAGAAGAAGTGGCCCACGGGCTCCAGAGTTATATTGTTGTATTTGAAATAGAAGCCCAGATAAAAGTAGGTGTAGGAGGCCCATGGGTTCAGACTGATCAGGAGGCTGACGGTAGCCTCCACCTTAGTGGAACAATTGTGATGAACTTGGGGGTTCCTGGTTGCTCGGCAGTAAGGAGATAAGCTCAAAAAATGGTGTTGGCTGCTCTCGGAGGCCAAGGATGGATGAGATCTTTTGAATGTTGTGAATGGAAAAGAGGTTGGAGGGTGGTCGGAGGCTGAAAGAAGGGGCATCCCTGGGTCTGTTCCGTCCAAACACTGTTAAGGCACAAGAGAGATCTGGGGGCCAGCCGAGGGCACTGCCAAGGTTCAGTTCCAGTGAACAAAAAATAAAGTCCTCAGTGAACCGGTCCGTGCCTCATTCTCTAGACTCCTCTCTGCTTGAAACCACATTGAACTCTAGCTCCTCTGAATGAGGTGGACGTTTCCATATACTGTGACTCTATTTATATTCCTTCATCTCCCTGGACTATCTGAACTCCTACTCAGTACTGTCCATTTAGCAAATATCTATATAGAACTCCTATATAAAAGAAGCCTCTATTACAGTGGGTTCCAGACAAACAAGCAAAATCGCCTTGGGGACTCTTTAAAAACCTGTACCTTAGCTCATATCATGGTTTCTAAACCAAAACGGATGAAGGTTCCTTGGAGAAATGGCTGATTCCAGCACTGAGGCAAGGAAAGTACATGATGAGCTTAGATCATCTTTATGCCAAAAAGTAAAGAACTGCTTAATGAATGATGAAAGCATATCAAAAGCCAACAGGACACAGCTAGAGGGGTTCCCACTGCCCAAATATGGGACCATTTGGGCATAAAAATAAATAATGATAGTAACAGAATATAACCCATTCAATAAAATAAGAATCCAATTCCAGTCAAGGTTGCAGAGTAGGTAAATGCTGTGCTTACCTTCTCTCATGACCACATCAAAATTAAAACTAAATCACAAAACAACAATCATTGAGAATCACCTAAAGTCTAGCTGAATTGAAATCGAACAATTATGGACATACAGAAGCAGCCACCTCAACACTGGTAGGAGGAGCAGAGACGTGGAACAGGCTGGCCCACACCATGTAAGACCATTAAAAATTGGGAGGGATTGAGCTGGCCAAGTGGCTCATTGGTTAAGAGTTGGCTTAGGAGTGCAAGCTCTGAGCAGCAGGGCTGCCGGTTTGGATCCCACATGGGCCAGCGACACTGCACTCTCTACAATTAAGATGCTGAACAACAGCTCGACCTGGAGCTGGACTGCTGTGAGTCACCGGTGATGGCGTAGGCTGCAGCCCCTGCTGCAGTGGGCTGCAGGAAGCTACCGTGAGCGGCCGACAGTCAGCTGAGCTATCATGAGCCTCCGTGAGCGGCTGTCCAATGGCCAGTGACCGATCTGCCTCAGCCGGGAAGAGCGCAATGATCACAATACCAACATGGGCCAGTGAAGCGACGTCCTCAACAACTAGACTGAAGAACAAAAGGACAGCAACTTGTCTGTTCACCTTCCCCAATTCCCCAGCGGTGTTCCCTCCCCAAATTTCCCAACAAAATCTTCACGAAAAAATTGGGAGGGATATATTAGCTTTAGAGGTCACTCCAAGAAAAGCGAGGAGTCCCAGCCCTGTACCAGGCTCCCGAGCCCACAGTTCCAGAGCTGGGGAGAAAAGCCCCCACACTTCTGGTTGTCAAAACAAGAGGAGATGGTGGCTGAGTGAGACGAGGGTGGCCGGAGTCCAAGACGCTCCTCTTAAAGGGCCAGCACACGATTGACTTGCTGGCAGGCTCATTCACTATGAGCTCCACTGCTGGGGCAGCAGTCGAAACGTGCCACAGACATACAAAGAGGAACTGAATTGTCTGGCTTCAGAGCGAGGGCTGCAATGGCAGCTTTCTCCCAGACATAGGTGCCGGCGGAAGCCAGTTTCTTTGTTGAGCCCTCCCCTCTTCAGCGAGCGAAGCAGGTGATGGCCATATCTGGCTCTTCAACTACCTGGCTAACACCATTTGTTTGCCTTGCCCTGGTGATTCCCTGAGAGCCCGCACCACCCAACTTGTGGACCCACCTAAGCTACTTTCCATGGTTTCCCATACAAACGACCTGTCCTGGCTTACACCGAGGACATTGCTAAAATCTCTTAAAGGTTCACAAAACCCAAAACAGCATCTGGCTTCAGCATATCCCGTACCTCTAGCTGAGCAGCCCTAAGCCCGGCACTAGCGACAGCCTCGGTTCACGGCCTGGCCTCTTGAGACACCTCCAAGCCAAGCGTGGGTGATGACCATCTGTAGATTGCTTTATGACTCATTCCAGGTGGCCCAGGGCAGGGCACAGGCTGTGGCTGAACTTGACCTCAGATGGGGCCCCACCCAGGAGGGCCTGGGGCTGGCACGCTGGGTGGCTGCCTTGAGACTGAGCTGGAGCATCACCTGGCCACCTCCAAGGACGACGCACCCAAAGGGAAGACTGGGCAGGCAACAGAGCCCTGTTAAAGCAAATCCTGTTCTGTAGGGTCAGCCCCTACATAACAGTTCCTCCAGTGTAGTCATGGCCAGTCCTCACAACCACTCAACCCAAGGGTCAGTCCCTCCCACTGATGTGCGAACAGCAACCAAGGTAAAACTACAACAGGAGGGCACACAAAACCCACAAAAGAAACATACCTGGAACACCTGCCTCTGTTTACTGGGGAGACTGTGCAACTGAGTACCACACACACCTATTACATATGGCCACTACTACAGTAAGCCTGTGAGGCATAGAAGCCCTACCTATACATAGAAACAGAAGGAGGAAGCCAAAATGGGAAGACAAAGAAACATCCCAAATAAAAGAACAGGACAAAGCTCCAGAAAAAGAACTAAACAATATGGAGACAAGCAATCTAACAGGCACAGAGTTCAAAACAGTGGTTAGAAGGATTCTCAATGACCTCAGGGAGAACTTCAAAAAATACATAGGAAACATAAAAATAGAGATAACAAAACACACAAAAGAACCAGTCAGAAATGAAGAATAGAATAAATTAAATGAAGAATATAGTAGAGGGAATCAACAGATTAAATGAAGCAGAGGATCAAATTAGCGATTCAGGAGACAAGAGAGCAGAAAATAACCAATCAGAACAGCAAAAGAAAAAAGAATCCAAAAAAATGAGGACAGTCTAAGGGGCCTCTGGGACATGAAGCATACCAATATTTGCATCATAGGGGTACCAGAAGAAGAGACAGAGAGCAAGGAATTGAAAACCTATTTGAAGAAATAATGATGGAAAACTTCCTTAACCTTGCAAAGGAAACAGACATACAAGCCAAGAAGCACTGAAAGTGCCAAACAAGATAAACCCAAAATGCCCACAGCAAGACACATCACAATTAAAATGCCAAAGGTTAAATTCTAAGAAAGAATCAAAAAAGCAGCAAGAGAAAAGCAGTTAGTTACATACAAGGGAGCTCCCATTAGACTGTCAGCTGATTTCTCAACAGAAACTTTGCAGGCCAGAAGGGATTGGCAGGAAATATTCAACATGATCAAAAACAAGGACCTACAACTAAAATTACTCTACCCAGAAAAGCTATCATTTAGAATTGAAGGACAGATAAAGAGCTTCCCAGACAAGAAAAAGCTAATGGAGTTAATCACCACAAAACCAGTATTACAAGGAATCTTAGAGGGGCTTCTTTAAGATGGAAAAAAAGATATAAAACATGAATAGTGAAATGGCAATAACTACATATCTATCAAAATTACTTTAAATGTAAATGGCTTTAAGTGCTCCAACC